AAAAATTATCATTGTTTTAGTTATGTATTGACTAGTTAGTTAATGGCACTGGTGTAACTTTGGGGAACACATATTATAGGTTGGATATAAGACACAATATACAACACAATAAGCCGGATGTTGCGCAATATATAACACAACACATTGGATGTGACACAAGACACAGCATGACATGTCAGAATAATTGTGGCACTATATACAACACATGTTAGATAAGACATATTTACAATGTATATCAGATAATACATTATGTACAACACGATAGATGTACAACACGATAGAGTGGCCGTGACACTACAATATGCTATGTCGGGTGTTGCACTATATACAGTATGATATGTCAGATGGTATGTCAGATATGGCGCCGTATACAACAAAATATGTTGAATGTGACACAATATACAGCTTGATATGTCAGATGTGGTGCTATAAACAATATGATATGTTCATATATGATGCTATTTACAATTTGACATATGGGATGTAATACTATATACTTATGATATATCAGATATGACATTATATACAACTTATGATGGAAAAACACCCCAAAAACCCCAAAACAAAAAACTACTAATAACGAAACACTTCTAGAAAATTATGCACATATTTATACCATGCATCAAAATACCCCCCAATTCAGTAAGATATATTTTTGTAGGATTTCCCCATGTACTATGACATCATATATATTTGTTGTAAACTCAACCTTTGTTATTGTATACATGTGTAAATGTAAGTGAAAATTGTATATATGTTGTATACGGCCTGTGGCCTATAGACAATAAAAAGACTTTGACTTGAAAAAAAAAAAAAAAAGTGCTGGGACAATATTATTCTATGATCTGAATGAATTGGAAATTCAGATTAAGTGTACTTCGGGACACAAGCGGATACTGAATACTTTGAAATAATCCTAGTACTTGTGAAGACGGACTTTGATAAATCATATATATACTTTCAAACAAGGCAGTATATTAGTATATAACCATTGGTATATAACCATTTCAATATATTCTAAATAACACTAACTTTGACAAAAGACCAGTCCGATCAAAAACAGGAATGTCCAGCATATCATCATCCTTCCACACCAACAGAGGGACGCCAGTATGTGCACGAGAAGTTATTACATCTCTGTGGGAAACGATAGCTGAGACTTAGGTCATGGAAATTAACGTTTGGCCCTGCTCAAATGTCACTGGCCTACTTATGCAATTTTGTTGACAAATATAAAATGGCATTGTGTTGAGTTTAGGAGTGCTTTCGAAGGAAAGTGCTCAACAAAATTAGAAACTCGACATTTGATCAAAAACTGATATGTGTTAATCGAATGTACAGAACCTAAAAATAGGTTTTAATACTGAAAAAATAACTGTTTTCAAAGAGGAACGTTTCACAGGTCCCAAGAATCGCTAGGCGATGGTTAAGTGCACGGCAGCTTCGCTCGTAACCTTCCCTGGCCTTTCTTCATAACAGAGGTCCCAAGAAAAGCTTTGGCGGCGAGACAGGTCCGAACTCGAACATTTACTGCCCGCCATCATTAAGATGGAGTCTTCCTTATAGCGCAGTGTTAGTTAATCAACAATGACAGTATGCATCGATTCACGACTTGATTCTGTGTTTTACGTCATAAATTTTACATATCATAATTTGATTCAGCCAGAATGTTTCCACGTGTGACTTCCAATTTACAGGGGGCGGTGGGGTAGCCCAATGGTTAAAGCGGCCACTCGTCACGCCGAAGACCTGGGTTCGATTCCCAACATGGGTATAATGTGTGAAGCCCATTTCTGCTGTCCCTTGCCGTGATATTGCTGGAATATTGCTAAAATCGGCGTAAATTAATCTCACTCACTCACTCTTACTTACAATATTTACAATTAACTATAGTTTAATTAGTACAATCAGATCTTATGTATAATATGATATGATTTAACATTATGTTACCTATGAGAGAAAAAAATTCCATGTTGTTGTCTGTTAGTGATAAATGCAATGACGGTACTTCAGAAACTATATCAGTTTGCAAGGGAATGGGGTCCAGGATATTTAACACACTAGGATTCAGTTATAGCACACTGGATAGCCGAGGTAATGTTTGGAATTACACCGTCTTGGTAAACTACAAATAGGTAGTTTTAGTGTTGGGTCCCATACGGGATTCGAACCCACACCGTCAGAGTAAGAGACACAAAACCACACACAAATCCAACCAACTCACCCACCGCGGCTTCCACAGTGGATTTCTGGACACTGGTAGCCTAGATCACGTACTTTGTGTACATCTGTGACGAGTGTAAACTGACGAGCGGAAACCAAGACCGAAAGCACAAATACCCATGCCGTTTAAAGTTATCAAACGTAACATATGTGATATTTAGGATTTTCCTTTCCTAGTAAACACAATTTCTAGTACTTTAGGTTTAGGGTGCGGTTTAGGTCCTGCCCACACTCTCAGAGTGAAACACTAATTTTTTACTAAAAATGTGTAATCCAAAAATTACATCCCACATTTGATCACTGACGGAAAGGAGTTACTTATATATATTCAAAATGCAGCAAAGTTATAATACACGTAATAATGAAGGATGCACGTGCGCAAACACTCATTCAATTTGAATACAATCAATTTGTCTTTAGACGCGAATCCAAGGAAGTGATGTTAGTTTCCTTTCCATGTGGATTGCGTTGCAATGTAAACAGACAGATATGCTTTGTCTTATTATTATCTAGGAACATCTGAATACTTTTCACATTGAATTTATTCGTGCAAACTGCAAAGTAGGCCCCTGTGACTGTCATAAGAGAAAAGTTTTTACTCAACAACAAAAGTTACTGGGTGGCAAACAAACATCAATTCGACATGACCTACAATATTTTCCAAATGACCCAAGTAAATGTCTTCCGATTGTTTGTGTGGTGAGGGCAATCAAATGTGTCATAAGCAGGGAATATGTGTCATAAGCTGGGAATATGTGTCATAAGCTGGGAATATGTGTCATAAGCTGGGAATATGTGTCATAAGCTGGGAATATGTGTCATAAGCTGGGAATATGTGTCATAAGCAGGGAATATGTGTCATAAGCTGGGAATATGTATCATAAGCTGGGATTATGTGTCATAAGCTGGGAATATGTGTCATAATCAGGGAATATGTGTCATAAGAAGGGAATATGTGTCATAAGCTGGGAATATGTGTCATAAGCTGGGAATATGTGTCATAAGCAGGAATATATTCCGGACTTTCCGAGTGCCGACTGCAGTTGAAAAGGCTTTAAAGCAAAGTACAGAGGACTCTGTATAATCCGACTCTTACTGGGACCGGGAAAAAATGTCGGATTATACAGTGTCGGATTATCTTGCTTGAATACTTTTCAAACAGTACCATACATTGTAACTGGCTTATATCATGAAATTAATGCTTTATAGCTATTTTCTTGGTAAATAAAGAGAACAAACAAATGCTGTATTTACATGTACACGTATATCACGTATCTTCTGTACAATATACACACATGTAAAAGTATTCATTCTCTTACTCCGCGCCTGTGCTCTGGAACTCTCTCCCATGTGCCCTTAAAAGCTCTGCCACAATTGACATTTTTAAGTCCAGACTTAAAACCCACCTTTTCTCAGTATATTATGTATAACTTCATCTGTAAACACTCCAGTGTAAATATTCTGTAGCGCTTTGAGCATGCCTTAGGGTGTGGAAGGGGCGCATTATAAATATGCATTTATTATTATTATTATTATTATGTACTACTATCACAATCATATTCACACTTTCATGAATAAGCCCATTCATCCTCACATTGGCCACTCAGCTTGTAAAAACAAAGGCACAAGAGTTCTCACACTGTGAAAGAGATTACCAGTTACAGAATGTTAGTTGTCAATTGGCCATTGACAGGTCCAATATGGGGAGAGGATGTCGGATTGTACAGATTTCGGATAATTCAATGTTTAAATGATGATAATGTAGAAGAACGCTGCCGGGACTCAAGAAATATGTCGGAATTCACAGATTGTCGGATAATTCAGATGTCGGATTATACAGAGTTCACTGTACTGCACTGCAGGCTACGCAGGTGATGGGATATCTGTTACATATGTTGACAATGGAAGCATCAGAATAGTGTTAATAGACACTGGAGAACACATGTAACTAGTAGAAACGGGAAAATGTGCGTCTTATCGCAATCGCACAGAAGAAACAAAGGTCTATTCATCTGTACCAGAGTTGCATATCGAAATAAAATGTCTGTTCCAGTAATCTCATAAAACACCATTTGCCAATCAAAGCCATCAAAGCTATTCACTGCACCATTCTAGCACAAGCGAAGCAAGGTAAGATGGAATTGATATGTTTCCGCATCCCAAATGATTAGCGAACCCTGAATTTCTGAAGTCAACAATTTTTTGTGCGACATGGGATTGGTTGATTCTTTTGTCTCCTCTGTTAAACGTGCTTTTCATTTCAATCCATATTTGTCCAATATCACGTCAAAGTCAGAAACGACAACTGTCTAGATGGATACGCTTACAAACACCTGGCACTTTCACTATTATTAACACTATTTTTTATTATTTTTAACACATGATCATAATGTAGGAATCGTGCAATCGCCTCTGCTTTTGGCAGAGATTTATTTTGAAAATCTAAAGGGTTTCTTTGCGTTTATGCATTAATTAGAACATGGCTGGGAACTTTAACATAATTTACTCGGATCTAATTATCATTAATTCCAGACAACTCATAGTTTATCCTAGTAATTGCAGTCAATGAGTTTGGCAAACTATTATGTTCGACTGCATGCGTGAAGTGCATGCATATTGTATCACTCTCAGTCTGCCTCACTGGAACCATTGTTTTAAAACTAAGAGAAATTACATCATAATTTCATTTCCTGAACTGACATCAACCTACGCCACTCGTGAAAGTTTAATTTTGTCTGATCAGGTTAACATGTGAAATGACAAGGAGAGCAAAATATCCTTTGACTGTCACTTTATTTTTCACATGACACAAAATACACGCAGCTCCTGACCAAGGAAAGGACAGATGTGTCCTCTTCTTGCTCTCCACTGTTCTTTACTCCTTCTTCCCTTTTATCATCTCTCTCAAGCTAATCCGATGATGTAGGCATGTCCAAATCCGTTCCTTAAAACCGACAACATATCAGGGTGTATTTATACTACTAATGATGCGTAAGACTTTGGGATAACAACTTGTTTATTGCATAAAGCGACGATTCTTACATCTTATCAAGCTAAAAGTGACTACAATCAAGTGATGAGACGTATATGTACATACTATATTGTGACGACCATCAGACCATTAGCAACAGCATGCAATTGATGACAAGTGGCACATAGAGACGAAGGGTGCTACATATCATCAGCGTAGGAAGTACTAATGAACCTATAGACTATATATATTAGCTCCCCATCAGCTTGTTATTTTTCCTTTTCTAATACTTTATCCCTCCTGATTTCAGGCTTCAAGGCCTCATCCATTTATGTACCACTTGTTATCAATGACATGCTGTATCTCAGCCATCTTTTGAATGATATTATCTTATCCTGTATATCCCCTCTGAATTGTTTCAAAGTGACACAGAATCTTCATGTCGTTGCAATTGTACAATGGCGTTTTCTTATGATTGTGGACAGGGTTTTGTTGTTTGTTGTTACCTGTTACAACCAGCTCCACGGGCATCAGTCTCACTGGATTAGTGTTAATCTGACACGTGTACTGACCCTGGTCAGTTTTGGTCACAGATCTTATGTGGAGGTTCCATTCGTCTAAGGAAGGTCTGTCCAAGGATATGCGTGGGTCGTCAATAATTCGCCTGTCCCCAAACGTCAATAACGTGGAGTCTTCATCTGTCCAAACTGTCTAAAAGTAATAAACATGTGGAGAAAAAAAATAAAAATAAAAAACAATGAAAGACCATAACCATCTGTGTGTTCATGCTTGTGTTATCTAAGGGTGGGGAGTTGAGCTTAACAAATGTGTGTTTGCGTGGGTACGTGTGTGTGTGCGCGCGTGTGTGTGAGTGGGGGAGATTCTGGTATGCAGCATGAGCATACCCTCTGCTCCCGTCCATCCCCTCAAGCTACAGTACTGACAATACCATAGTTCATACATATTACATATTACCCACTAATGGTGCTGGCAAGTATATTTTTACAGAGGTGTGAAGAGATGGGGGTATTGAAACAACTGTTAACTTTGAATCACTGACCGAAAAGGTTGGGTGATTGACTGTGTCATGGCGCAGAAGCGCTCTTGCAGGTAAGCACGGAGAGACTGAAAAAGTTATGTCTCTAAGAAATATCTCAGCCCCCAAAACCAACCCTGTACTAGCCGGTCTCTATACCCCATCACTCCGTTACTGACGGTTCTGACCGACATAATGTTAGGCATGTAATTGCTTTGTTATTTTGGTTTACCATGTAACGTCCCTTAAACTTGATAGTACATGGTAGTATTGCTGTTTCTCCCTCCCGAACAGTCACCGTGCTAGTGGAGGTCGAGGTCTCGGGCTCTGGGCCTGCAAGAAGAGATGAATTGCTCTTACAGACATTCAGACTTCCTTGAAGTAGTGAATTGCTTAATGGATTATAACTATTTGAAATATGAATGATTATGATAGAGCGTCTCCCAGAAACTAGACTATAAATAATACAAGTTTAGAATGACTGGGCAATTCTGGATTTCCTCAGCCTGAAGTTTAGAACTGTTCTAGGCTTCATTTGAGTGTAAACTTTTATTCTCGTACCAACAGCCCGTACAACATGGGGTCCAGCCCCGGCCAGTTTGACCACTGGATGTGGCACAATGTCACGTCGACTGCCAAGTCACTCAGTATGTCGAGCATCCTTTCCTATTCCCTGTTATTTGACGTCACAAACAGCATTATAAGTGCAATGTTATGACTCTTCGAGTGATTGGCAAGAGATATGTTGCATGCTTAGTGCAACAAACTTGAGGTTCCGGAGTTCATTTCTAACCCTCAGTAACCACAGGATGAAGACAGAATTCAGTGTGTGTGTGTGTGTGTGTGTGTGTGTGTGTGTGTGTGTGTGTGTGTGTGTGTGTGTGTGTGTGTGTGTGTGTGTGTGTGTGTGTGTGTGTGTGTGTGTGTGTGTGTGTGTGTGTGTGTGGGTGTGTGTGTCTGTGTGTCTGTGTCTGTGTCTGTGTGTCTGTCTGTGTGTATGGTCAATTAACCCCCACACGATAATATATCTGACACGCCCATTGGCGCGTACCAGTGTGGAGAAGGGGTAGCCCGACCAGTACAATGAATATTTAGACAACATTCATAAACCCTCTCTTCCTGACACAGACATAACAGATCGGTAGACATAGGTAGGCGATGGCATGATACCAACTCTTAGAACAGTAAGGGATTCGCGATGTACAAGCAGCACAGATTAGTCTCATGATTCAGACTCATAAATTCAAATTGGCTTCAAACCGGTTCGGTTAATGTTTAATTTAAGATAACTTTTTGTCATATGCAATGTCAGGATGCTGGACAACCACCACATAATTATGTTGTATATGCCAAAAGCGCTCGGAAAATTATATTACATTACCTGAAATAATCGGAAATAGAGATTAAATGTACTTCGTGACACAAGGAGATATTTTATACTTTGAAATAATCCTTGAACCTACGATCATTAATCATATATATATTTACTTTCAAACAGGCAGTATATTCAGTACATACATTAGTACATAACCATTTCAACATATTTTAAATAACACTAACCTTGACAAAAGACCAGTCCGATCAAAAACATGAATGTCCAGTATATCTTCATCCTTCCACACCAACAGAGAGTCGCCAGTATGTGCACAGGAAGTTATTACATCTCTGTGGGAAACGATAGCTGAGACTTAGGTCATGGCAATTAACGTTTGGCCCTGCTCAAATGTCACAGGCGTATTTATCCAATTTTGATGGCGAATACAGAATACCATTGTGTTGTGTTAAGAACTGCTTTGGAAAGTACTCAACAACAAAAGAAACTTAACATCCGGATATTTTGTACTTTTTGGTGGGCTTAATTCTAGATAATACATCGTAGCAGTTTCGCTACTCCATGGGCTGGACTCATCAGACAATCGGCACAGTTTGAGGATCCGTATGCAACAGACAGGCACCGTTTTAGATCTGAAGTCACACTAAAATGAATACACAACAGGGTTCGTCTTCCTCGGAACAGGTTTGAAACCTCTACCAGCAGACACTTCTTCAGAGGGAGAGTGTCAACACAGACATTCAGGAATCGGCTGATAACCTCAGAACCATACACAGAGTCTCTACACAGGAACGTCACGTACATAGAGAATACTACACGAGGTCTCATTACATACGAATTATACGGAACGAGTGTCCAGCCTATGGTATCTGACCGAGGGAAAGTGAGGTCAGTAACCGAGCGAGGTCAGAAACCATAGGAAGGTCACGTAAAGCGAGGTCAGAAACCATAGGAAGGTCATGTTAAGTGAGGTCAGAAACCATAGGAAGGTCACGAGTTTCGTATAATTCGTATGTAATGAGACCTCGTGTGGTATTTTATGTATTACCAACGTCTTACATGCATTAAATTGGCAAAATAGCGTAATTTTGTTATTGTTATGGTTTTGAACCGAAACCAGTTTCATAAAGAGGTTGCGGAAGAATTTTGTTCTGTAGTACACTTTTGCCACTCTCCTACCCAGAGTTCCATGCGACAATACAGTGTGACGTCATGCAAAAGTGCTCACTCCGGCGCAGTGATGACTTGGCATATGACGTCATGATGGTTTACAGTTATGACGTCACAATGCTAATACCTCTGTCACAATGGTATTAGACCTTGCTTGACTCGTGGAAAGCTGAGAATCATCACACTTCGTAGGCAGTTTCTATCAGTTTATGTTGGAGAGTAATAAACAGAATACTAAATTCGCTTCCGTGAAATACCATTCTCGTCTGTCCCCTTGGTAACCGACGTCACGATGCATGTCAGTTGTCATCGCCTCGTACAGCCTCCTACAGTAAACTACTCCGTAGAACCCCGTTTCTTGGTTTGCAATTGCTTCACTCGGCTAACATCACTGGTGGAAACATTGCGTTTATGTTTTTCGACGGATATAATCGGTTATCCAATCAAATCGTTAGAATCTCAGGTCAAGTCGTTACGACACAGGTCAATGCGATACGACACTCGTGTGACGTACGAGATTAGTATGCAACTACCCATACGTTGACCACGTGGGAAATAAAGTGATGTGTCCGTCAGCGTCATTGTCTGGGGTGCATTATGTGCTAGTTTGTTAGTCTCAGTTGATTGCCATCCACTGTATCTTACTGACCGCACCCGTGAAGGTCCGGGTTAGAATTGATCTTCAGTAACCCATGCTTGTCGTAAGAGGCGACGAAAAGGGATCGGGTGGTCAGGCTCGCTGACTGGGTTGACACATGTCATCGTATCCCAATTGCGTAGATCGATGTTCATGCTGTTGATCCCTGGATTTTCTGGTCCAGACTCGATTATTTACAGACCGCCGCCATATAGCTGGAATAAAACTAAACTCACTCACTCATTCTTACTGACATTGATACCAAGTTCCACTACATACAGCTGACAGGACTCACAAGGTTAACATTCAACCAAGCAGCAAATCGAACGCGATGTACGGGGTACATTACCTTCACAAACAAATTTGGTTACAGGGTATGGCAGGTTGAGGTTTAAACTTCAGAAAAACATCACAAGTGTCCTTGTGTTATGGGTCTTTACGCTTAAGGTTATTTTTTCCACGATTATCGCGCAAACAATTGTTTAACTTGCCATTTACTCAATAAAACTACTTCACGTTAAAAAGTAGACATCATCAGAGATCTACAGCGTTTGCGTGACTGAACCTGCCTCGCTAGAGAGAAAGTAAACACTGCCACCCGAAAACGTATGACGTCCGAAAACATCATCCGACGATATCAAAATGTATTAGTCACTGCACGACTGATTATAATGATATGAACACTGTTCATTGTTGAAGTGTCCAGTTGTGTTGTTTCAAAACTTTCAGATGGAAGAATCGGACTTAGTGTTATCTATACGAAGAAAACTGTCCAGTCAGTGTTGAAGAGTTCAGTTAATTTGGTAAAGAACATTGAGAATGGCTATTATTTAGTTTATTGTATATTCATTTTTTCAGATTCATTTTAAATTGATCTTCACTGTTTAATCAATGTTTTGAACACATCTTGAGTGAGTGAGTCAGTTAAGATTTTATGTTACATCGGGAATATTTCAGCCATATCGTGACTAAACACAAGATATAATTTCATAATAGATAAAAGTAAATTATAAAACCCTGTCGAAGAAGGACAGTAAAATAACTAGATTATCACAGAAATAAATTTAAAACTAGTAATTTAAATCTAAAATATTTTAACTTTAAATGACAATGCAATAAAAAACAGACTATATATTGCCAACAAGTGAAGGTAGATCACCATACTAGGGACCATGGGGACTTACAGTACATTTGCTTCCTACATGGACCCTAGCTGGATTCACACCATCCCTTCAGCTATTAGCAATTTTAGATAATCTAGCCATAAATTAAAAAGACATATATTCTGCGATTATAAAAGTGGAAAATTCTATTTACTTTGAATGCCTTGGGACTAACATACCCCCACAGAAGAACAGATCTTGAACTCATGTTTGTAACTACTATTCTGTATGGCAAACAAGTCGCAGCAAATTGACATGACCCAAAATATTTTCCAAATGGCCCAAATAAGTGAAGACAGGTAGGCCATGGGCCCACTTTTGGTGAGTGAGTGAGTTTAGTTTAAGGCCGCTTTTAGCAATATTCCAGCACTATCATGGCCGGAGACACAAGAAATGGGCCTCACACATTCAGAACATGTGGGAATCGAACCCGGGTCGTCGATGTGACGAGCCAAAGCCTTAACCACAAGGCTACCCCAACGCCCATTGTTTACTTGACAAATTCCCTGAAGATATGGTAGCAATAAACTCGCCTCAAGAGCGTGACATTTAGAAATCGGACCCATCAGTCAGACAAGTGATGTCCGATGCAATTCCCTATGAATATATTTGTCCGTACGGTGAACATCTGACATACCTTTCCATGTGACGTGTGACGGGGCAGGATGTCACGTGGGACAGGAGACGTTTACAAACGGCTGGCACTTTTACTACATGTGATTTATTAACACATACTCATAATTTTGGAATCGTGGAATCGACTCTGGTTTTGACACTCGGATCTGATTATCCCTAATTCCAGTCAATAGTTCAGTGAACTAATATGTTCGACTGCATGCGTTAATTGCATGCGTTATGTATCACTTTCAGTCTGCCTCATTGGAACCATTGTTTTAAAACTAAGAGAAATTACATCATAATTTCATTTCCTGAACTGACATCAACTCGTAAAAGTTAAAAAAATTCTGATCAGGTAAACATGTGAAATGACAAGTAGAATAAAATAGCCTTTGACTGTCACTTTATTTCTCACATGACACAAAATACATGCAGCTCCTGACCAATAAAAGAACGGATATGTCCCTTCCTCTTCTCTCCTAGTCTTCACTTCTTCCCTTTATCATCTATCTCAAGCTAATCCGATGATGTAGGCATGTCCAAATCCGTTCCTTAAAACCGACAACATATCAGGGTGTAAGTATACACTAATGAAGCATAAGACTTTGGGGATAAGAACCTTTTTATTGCAAAGAGCGACATCTTATCAAGCTAAAAGTGACTACAACCAAGTGATGAGACGTATATATACATACTATATTGTGACGACCATCAGATTAACATTAGCAACAGCATGTAATTGATGACAAGTGGCACACAGAGACGAAGGGTGCTACATATCATCAGCGTAGGAAGAACTAATGAACCTATAGATTATATATATTAGCGCCCCATCAGCTTGTTATTTACTTTCTAATACTTTATCCCTCCTGATTTCGGGCTTCAAGGCCTCGTCCAATTATGTACCACTTGTTATCAATGACATGCTGTATCTCAGCCATCTTTTGAATGATATTATCTTATCCTGTATATCCCCTCTGAATTGTTTCAAAGTGACACAGAATCTTCATGTCGTTGCAATTGTACAATGGCGTTTTCTTATGATTGTGGACAGGGTTTTGTCGTTTGTTGTTACCTGTTACAACCAGCTCCACGGGCATCAGTCTCACTGGATTAGTGTTAATCTGACACGTGTACTGACCCTGGTCAGTTTTGGTCACAGATCTTATGTGGAGGTTCCAATCGTCTATGGAAGGTCTCTCCACGGATATGCGTGGGTCGTCAATAATTCGGCTGTCCTCAAAAGTCAATAAATTGGAGTATGCATCCGTCCAAAGCATCTAAAAGTAATAAATATGTAGAGAAAAAAAAATAAAAAAACAATGAAAGACCATAACCATCTGTGTGTTCATGCTTGTGCTATCTAAGGGTGGGGAGTTGAGCTTAACAAATGTGTGTTTGCGTGCGCGCGTGCGTGCGTGGGTACGTGTGTGTGTGTGCGCGCGTGTGTGTGAGTGGGGGAGATTCTGGTATGCAGCATGAGCATACCCTCTGCTCCCGTCCATCCCCTCAAGCTACAGTACTGACAATACCATAGTTCATACATATTACATATTACCCACTAATGGTGCTGGCAAGTATATTTTTACAGAGGTGTGAAGGGATGGGCGTTTTGAAACAACTGTTAGCTTTGAATCACTGACCGAAAAGGTTGGGTGATTGACTGTGTCATGGCGCAGAAGCGCTCTTGCGGGTAAGGACGGAGAGACTGAAAAAGTTATGTCTCTAAGAAATATCTCAGCCCCCAAAACCCACCC